CCCCAAAACCCCAAAACCCCAAAACCCCGCATGATTAGATTCGAAGTTTGATTTAAATTCTAGAATAGTCTATAAAAATTATAATCATTAAAATTTAATCTTAATACTATTGAGTATGGTTAAAGTTACGGAAGTTCCAAGACCTCAATATACTTTCATTATATTGAGATCCATAACTTTCAAAAGAAACAAACTTTGTTATTCGGCGATTATATACTTACATTTTATCATTGCTTGCTTTTCAACTGACATTCCCTTAAATTTACATTAATATGATGATTAAATGATTATTATACAATATTAAGTTAATTAATGATAAATACTCAGAATATTGAACATCTACTGAGTAAGCCTCCCACTCCTCCGGATGGGGCTTGATTTGGATTAGGTTATTCTGCCATTCCTGCCAAAAAGCTCTTCATTTTGATATATACAGTTCTTACTACTTCGGGCACAGAGGGACTTTGTAAATAACCAGATATTTTGGTATCGAGTCTTCTGAAGGCAGCTTGTAGATTAGCACTCATCATATATCTAACTCTCATTAACTGCCAGTAGATAATTATCTGTAGGAAATTTGACCAGCCTATGAACCAAACAACTATAAGATAAAGACCGATATATACTTCAAAGTCTGATCTCATTTCAATGAACTGAGATTTCAAAGTGACTCCCTTATCAAAAGTGTCTTTGAAATATGACACGAATGGAATTCTTTAATATTGCTCAATAAATTTCTTGCCTGAAGGAGAAATCTCCAAGAAAGCAGATAGAATAAGAGGAACGTACATTATTAAACTGCCACTGCTCATTGTCAATGTTCCAACGTAAGTGATCATGTGGAAGTTATCATCAAAAGCCACTCTTTAAAGGTATTCTTAGCTGAACTTAGGATATCCGTGTCTCCTAATCAATCCACATAGCAAAGCGCCAAATGCTAAAAATCCAGTATAGAACCTGAAGGGAATACTTAGCAAAAATACTACCCATAGAACCTCTTAATATAACTTGAATGAAGGAAGTTGTTCGGGATATTAGTAACCTGCGTATGGATTCTACTAATACTGATTTTAGCTTCCCTAGGCTCTCTACTATGATTACTGCTATTATCTCTACTCATCACTAGGCTCTTCATAATTAATATCAAATTCCTTATCAATGTTGTCTCTATACCATCTTTTTCTGATTTTCTCAAGTCTATCTCTGGCAGGGATTGGATATAGGTTAGATAAGTACAATTGCCATTTTTCGCTCAATGTCCAATCGAATTTTCTAAAAGCTTTAAATTTCTCTTCCATTTGATTTAATATTTATGCTTTCATAATTCTGACTAGTTGATTACAATACCAGGGGTTTTGGGGTTTTGGGGTTTTGGGGTTTTGGGGTTTTGGGG